CCAAACATCCAAACATACAAACTTTCACATTTATAATATTAGTAAGAGTAAGATTAGTAAGATAGTAAGATAAGATTTTATCCTCGAAAAGAACTTTTTCTAATCATGAGGCGAAATTCCCCACAGTAAGTGTTGCCGTGAGCGCAAAACGAAAACGTTGCAACCCAAAAGTACTCCTCGGGGACCAATTGGTGAAAAACTGCGAAAAGGTTTATTACTGTATATACTGTGTTATGGAAGCTGGCCACCTGGAACAGCTTCCTGTAAAAACCTGCAAATCGTGAAGCATTTGTCGCGACTTATATTGTTTAGTATATGGCTAAGCCAAACTGGAGGGTGAAGTCATTCGAGGCGAGCGATAATTGCCAATCAATTTGTGAGTTAACTGACTTTGTGGAAAATACATTGCTACCTTCTAATGGTATAAATTCGACGATGTTGAGATGAGCGAAAATGGACATCACAGCTTGTTCAGCATGTAAGTGGGCTTGGGTACAAAGGAAAAGTAGCAGTCGTTGAAGGTGCGTTAATTATAGAATTTTATTCATAATTGGCTTTCAGTTAAATAAAAATATATTTTCTACCATAATTTTTCAGCTGAATGTGCCCTTTATACTTGTGCAATTGTTTTGGTTGGATGCCCTGATCCATCAATAAAATACCAGTATCCCAAACTGAGCAAATTGCATCAGGTCGTTTCGCTATTAACACGTTGCAGAGACATCTCTGACAAATGCCAGAATTCAAATCAAAATGCACAACCTTCCGAATCCATACAGAGATCCAAATATAAGGTGTAAGGAGTTAATACCATTATCGTTAGTGAAAAGCTGGGACATTAATTTTTCTTAAGTTTCCATCTTTTTTCCTTTTCATTAATTTGCAGTTACATTAAGAAGCTAAAGAGGACAGAGCTGTTGGTGAGGAAGGTGTCGAGCTACTGCAGTACTGCAGCTGTGAAAATGAACATTTCGCACGAGCCCCACTAACCGAACTATGAGAAAATTAGATTATGATATAACGACGACGAAAAGTGGTACCAGTAATAGATTATCAATGTTCCGTTTTGTATGTAAAATTTGAGTATGCAATGAAATCTGTGTTCGCATGGAATAGTAGTTTATGTCAAAAGGCTGGTCAGAATCACGGTGCAGCGAACGAAGGTGGCGCCGTCAGTGGTACCGCTACTTTGGTTTTGCCGATTTTGACAGTTGTGGTAACTTGTAAATAAACCTTTGTTTACAAATCAGCGAAAGAGAAATTTGAATTATAAGTGAAAAATCAGTTTAAATCGTGTTAATTTGCAATTTGTGAGTGATTTTTG